CATCAAATAGATCATAACATATACACATACCAAGCTCAAAAAGTCGCAAATATTGTAAAAAAAAAAAACTCAAATTTGAAAAAAATCACGAATTTCAATTTTGCTTTAAAAAAACGATTGTATCTATGTAAAGTACACGAAAAGCACATTAGGAAACCGAAAAAATTTACTCTCTAGGTTAATTAGGTCACGTGCTAGAGCAGTCCAAAGTTGCGAATTTGGATGTTTTTGGACAGCTATAAAAGCGAAAGTAGACGTCAGAGGTCAAATATGAAAGCATAAACTAATAGACAACGTCAATGACCTTTGACCCAATAAAGGTCAAGGTCAACAAAGGTGAAGGTCAAAAATTGAAAATTTTGAATTTCCAAAACCTGTTCCTTTTTTTGAACTAAGAAGCGGAAACAACCGAACTTCTAAGACAAAGTGGCTCAATTCATGAGATAATTGTATGCAAAGTTCCATTTTGAACAAACGTATACTTTGCGAGTTATGCTCCTGGCCAAAAATATCAATAATGAGTAATATTACGCGGATGTGCCACGCCCACCTTAATTTTTTTGCATAGGGTAATTGATATTCCAAATGTTACGTTGTGTTTTAAATTTCAAGCTTCTACATCATTCAGGTCAAAAGATATAGGTCAACAAACGTCAATAAAGGTCAAAATCGAAAAATGAAAATATCCAAATGTTAAAACCCGTTCCTTTTTTGGAACTATAAAGCTGAAACAACTGAGCTGTTAACACAAACTGGCCAAAAGGATGAGGTAATTGTGTGCAAAGTCCCTTTTTGAACAAACGCATCCTATGCGAGTTATGCCCCAGCGGCAAAATGTAAACAATTAGTAATTCAACCCGGACGTGCCACGCCCACCCCAATTATTTTTTTGTCATAGGTGAATTCATATTCAAAGTGTCTAGTTGTATTCCAAATATCAAGGTTCTTCATAGAAAAGGTCATAAGATATACATACACGAAGATCAAAAAGACACAAATATGGTAAAACTAAACTCAAATTTGAAAAAATCACGAATTTCAATTTTGCTTTAAAAAAGCAATTGTTCTATATCTATGTAAAGTGCATGAGAAGCACATTAGAAAACCGAAAAAATTAACCCTCTAGGTTAATTAGGTCACGTGCTAGAGCAGTCCAAAGTTGCGAATTTGGCTTTTTACGGATAGCTATAAAACCGGAAGTACATGTCGGAGGTCAAAGGTCAAAGTATCAAATGATAGCCAAGGTCAATGACCTTTGACCCTATAAATGTCAAGGTCATCAAAGGTCAAGGTCACGAGATATACGCCATCAAATATTGAAAACATTCAATCGCAAATTGCAAAAAAGCAAAATCGAAATTCAAAAATCGGCTTCCTGCGATCTCTCTTAATTTTTATGTTCTTTCATTTGACACCAAAATTTTGAAATTCGGTTCAGCCAAATTGGCTGAATAAAAATCGAAGAGTTTCAGGGAAATCAAAATGGCGGCCAAAGTTTCACGTCTGTTCCGGATTTTTTTTTCTTCGTTTTTTTGTCATAACTTTGTCTATCTATAAGCATAAATTTTTTTGTCCTATACAAATTACACCGGAAGATATTCAACCGGAAGTGAACATCGATTTCCTGTTTAAACCGGAAGTGAAATTGAAAATTTTACTGTACCATTTTGTTTACTTTCTTAAACTGTCTTTGCTCAATTTTTTTCAGATTAATCAGACAAAAAGCAAAAAAAATGAAAAAAATGCAAAATTTGGCAAAAAAAATGTCTGCGACAAATTTTCGAATTTTGAAATTTTGAAACTGCTATTCTTTCAGATTTTGCCAGTAGATTCCAAAAATGCAAACCCAAAGAAAATCGACCGAAAAATACGACTTCTAGAGCCGATTAACTATTCTTGCTCATATTGAACTGTGGCACTTCCGGTTTTGCAAAAAAGATCCAAAATATATTTATGCACATCGTCGCCTATATCTAAGGTTCGTGAATATTGAATGGTTGCTGCAACTATTGTAGTCTAAGCTCAGGAAGGTGTGTAAATTTCGAAAAAAAGGGGATCCTCAGAGTCGACCG